TTCCATGGCTAGAACAGAGCAGCCCAGGCTTTGTTGAAGGCCCCCAAAGGTAGGAGAGCCCAGCAGAAGGGATTGTAGCTGCTGAGCAAAGCACACTGCTCTGCTCCCTCACACTGAGCCAAGGGAAGGGGGGAACCAGCTCAGCTTCCCACAGGTGGAGATCCCAGCTGCTGGCTGGGGCTCCATCCACCCTGCCCAGATCTTCAGGGAGTCTTTGCCTACAGCATCTGCCACAGAGGTTTTTATTTCCTCCATAAAAAAATGTTGCTAAAATTTTGAAAAATCAGAGTGAGATCTGCATTTCCTTCAGTTCTTTTGTTTCCATGAAGCAACTTAAAGTGTATTTAGTGACTTTAGACCAAAGACAGCTGTTCAGTTGAAGATTCCCGCTGAAGAATCAAGGAATGTCAGAAGGAGGACTCTTGACAATATGGAAGTACCTCAAGGGGTTGATCCTTCTTTTTGGGCCTTTTGTTCACGGATGCACAATCATTCTCTTCATCATCTGAGAACACTGAGCCTTTTGTTTCACAGTTTGTCTCAGGTGGCTTCTCATACCTAATGTCCACACTTATTTCACCTATTTAACACAGCCATTTGCAGCCTAAATGTGAAGACACAGGATGAGGAAATCAGTGATGGTTTGATTCACACAAACGTCACTCACTGCAAAGCCATGCATCTTCCAGGGATTAATAGACAGAAGGGCCACACATCACACTCTAATAATAGCAGCTGTGGGGTTAGAAATCAGAAGGCTCTTGTTTACAAAGCCATTATGAAGTCTATCTTGATTATTTTACACAGAATTGAGACTAAATTCACAGGTTTTGATGTTTTGATGTTTGGGAGGTTGACACTAGAAAGAGATTATTTTTTGTTTGTTTGTTCAGGCATAACTAAAATAACTGATTTCTTGAATTGCTGGTTCCATCCATAGCTCCTGCTCTAGAAGACTCCAAATGGATGTTAAAGTCCACTGGTAAGCACAGAGAGACCTGCCTGGGGTGCAGAAATAGGAAGCACAGCAGCACTTACAGACTTGAAACTGAGTGGTCAAGGTAAGCACTCAGTCTGATCTCCACTGAAGTTCTCAGAAAGCTTCACCAGGCATTGAATGGACCCTCATCAAGTGGGAGTGTTGCTGGAAAACCAGTGCAGGCAAAAGTCTCTCTTCTGTCATTCTGGAGTAAACGTAGTGGAGCACTAGCTCTGCTGATGTTCCTGAAGGCAGTTTATGGCCTCATAACTTCAAACCACAAAGACTTGGTGGTTCTTACCCTTGGAATTTATGGCACAATCTTTGTGGGACTGGTTGTGTTACACAACACAATCCATTTGCTGCCTAAATACACACAGTAAATGAGACAGTATTTTTAATGACCAGCCCAAAGCAAGAGGTACAGAAGAGGAAACTCAACATGACCAAGTTTCCTGCTCTCCATGGTTTCTTACCAGCAGGGCTGGAGGTTTCTCTGTTTAACTGAGAAGGTTTATTGATTCCAAAACATGGTAGGAGGGGAACTATTTGCTGTTTGAGTTGCACTAATCAGAATTACTGGGTTTATACTTTGTTGCATGAACATACATAGAAATAATGCTCTGTGCTTCTTGTCTCAGCCTGACTGTAAGAGTCTGCTGGACCAAAGACTGAAACCAAAGAGGATTCTTAACATCTAATACTTACTAATCCCTTTTGATTCTTAAAGCCCAAAAGAAATGAATTCTTCGACGGCTCTTCCAGTAGGGTAACAGACAGAGGGAAATTATTTGGCTACAGCAACACCACGAGTCACAAGCAGGTCACTGGGGCTCTCCCCAGTGCAGATTAAAGTCAGCAGCTAATCAGTCTCAGCCCACAGGATGCAGCTGCTGCTCGAGACAGCAGCCTGTGCACACCATCATCCTCTGCCCACTGACCCTGGGCTTCTACCCCTTTATCACCATTCACATGGGCAGGCTGGAAAACACCACTGCAGGCTTTCAGGAAGAGCTGGAAGTTGATTTTCCCCAGCTGTACTGAAGATGTTGATAGTCAAATTGCAGAGAGGCCAGGGATAATGCTGAAATGTTTTTGTTCTGTGTAGGACTGTAGTGTGAATACTGCACTGTGGGGAGAATTAAATGCTCTCTAGACCACATGGCAAAAGAGTAAAGGAATGTTTTAGTTTACTATTTTATCCTACCCAGGAGCAGCCTAGCTTAGACCCTCTTGGATGTGGAAGATGTTCTTTGCTGCTTGCCTAAGCCAAATCAAAATTCAGTCAAGTTTAGTACAAGTGGGTCAGAACTTATTTTAATGGCCTCACTGAGGTTTGCACAGTGGCCCAACAACACACCTCCAGCCATGAGCCAGTGAGAACAGACAGGGGCTTTCACCAGGAAAAAGAGCTTTGAATGGGACAGGATGGAGGGGTGCTGCAGACCCACAGCTGGGGTGCTCAGTGACCAGAGTGAAGAGACACTGGCTGCTGAGGCTGGGTGAACAGAATCATGACAATGTGCCATGCTCCCATTCCACGACCAGCCACTCCACTGGAAAAGGAGACAGAAGGAGCTGTCAGCCTGAGAATGCTGCTGTGAATCCCATGGCTTTGCAGCGTGCGTTGCTTTCTTCATTACTGTTCTCACTCTTAAATTAGATGCTGGGCAAAAAAGATGCCCAGTGAGCTCTGCCACCCACGTCACCTGCACAGCAGGCACAGTCTCCTGCAGGCTTTTCATTCTCCCATCAGTCCAGGCATCCCATCCATGTCCTGAAGCTGCTTCCATGAAGATCAAGAGGAGAGCTCAGCCTCTGGTGCATACTGCTTTGATCCCTGCAGCTGAGGGGTCTGTAAACTCCACTGGAAATTGGGCTGATGCCCTTTTCTTCCCTGCTCCACGTCATTGTGAGTGGGACACTGAAAACCAGCCAAATGGGAACCAGTTTAGCTTCAGCCTCACTGAACTGGAAAAAGCAAGATGGGGTCTCCTCGGCTTTTCCACTACTTTTCTGGCCATGGACGAGAAAAGATCTTTAATACGCATGGCACTTTCCTTCAGACCTGGAACGAGAAGGGAGGACTCCCTGCCCATCCTGCCTTGGGAAGGACATCTGTATTGTGAGCAAGCCAAGCTCATATTTATCTGCCAGCCTTTGGGGTGCCAGCCTTTGTCCCACATTTGTGGAAGCATTCTGCTGTTGTGGAATGGCAGAGAACTCATCTCCAAAGAGCAGCTGCTGTGTGAGCCCCAGCTCTGAAATTGTTGTTTTTTGTGAATATGGTGATGATATCATAAAGAACTGATTTTCTGACACCAAGAGAGTGAGTAAAAATGTAAAGCAGAGGGTTAATCAGAAGAATAAACACACATGTGAGAAACTGCTGAGAAAGGAGATGGAGGTTTAAGGTGAATGGAAGGGTTCTGGGCTTGTTACCAGAGAAGGTAAAGATTGAGGAGCACAACATTGCCAGGGCTGGAGCGTGCATTTTGAGGACAGCACTTGGCCTTGGGTGACCTCCTGTGTGTTTCTAAGAGCCATTTTTATGATCTGAGGCTGCAGGGCCTCATCACTATCAGATGTCCCCAAAGTAGCAGAGTCAGCAGTGTGTGCTGCTCCAGGGAACAGCCAACAACCCCAGGGACTGTCACAGCCAGGAGGTGGCTGTGTAAAGACATGGATCATACACAGACCTTTGCCTTGACTCTGTTTGGGAGCTTCTCACTCCCCATCCCAGGGTGTCTCCACCTGCTACTTTTATGGCTCCACAGCTTTGTGTGAAGGGGCTGAATTGCTGCAGAAGTGGGAAATGGGCTGGTGTTCCAGGACTAAAGCTGCTGCTGCCTCTTGCAAACACCTTTTCAGCGCACAGACCAGATTACACTCCTCTCTCTACTAAAGCAAGACAGAATCTGACTGTAAACAGATTCCAAATCCAAGGAAATGGATTATTCCAGTTAATTCCCTTAATTTCAGTTCCTATAATTCCATCATAATTCCTCCCAAGGGAACTGATACAACCAACACATTGTGTGGGAAGCCCTGAAAATGGGCACATTTCAAGTTAAAGCAGACATTTGAGTGCTCTGCAGAGGTGGGATCTGAGCTGTTAATGCACCTTAAGGAACAACCCAGCACAGACCAGGAAATGTAGGGCCAGATCATTGCAATCTATGATTCAACAAGGCTAAGAAATTTCACATGCAAAACTCTTTCTACAGCAATATCTGGGACTCAGTAGTGTGCTGGTTCAGCAATCACTTTGGTTCAGAACCTGGTCCATGCTGCCATGTAAATCTGTAGCAAATTTCTGTGGATTTTCATAAGTACAACAGAAATCAGGACCTGGCTCACTTTAAGTGCAAGTGAAAAAATGACTTTGTTCTAGATCCTCTGAAAAATCTGGATACTTAAGTACAGTGGGAATCAGGCAACTTTGACATTAGACCTTCCCATATTTTGCTAGGCACAATTCTTCCATCACTTGAATTCCTCAGGAGCAATGGGGAAAACCAGAGTCACAGACTACACAAACCAAGAGGGAGGTATTGTATCATTGTAATGGAAGGTAAAGTCACTCCAAAGTTAAGCCTTTCCAGGGTATCATTCATACAAAGAGGTTTGCACACCACTTAATAAGCACAGGAGAACAGATATTTATTATACGATGGCCATCAGCTTCTTTCCCCTGCAACAAAGATAAATTCACCATCATTTCCAAAAGACATTGACCCAAGTCCTGTACTTCCCCAGCAGCTTTCATTGCCAAACCAAGGAGTTAGGAGCAGCCAACTACACCAGCACACACTGCCCAGGAGCCACCAAACAGAGGCAGACATCCTTTCCAAAGCTGCAGTCAAATGCAACCAAAGCAAACAAGCCTAATTACATCAACAAAGTCATCCGTTAATGAAAACACATCCCACAAAGGAGTGAGTTGTTAAGTGCTAGTCTACTCCAAACACCTCAGAGGAAAATTCATGCAATCTGTAACACTTACATCAGAGTCCCATAATATTTACATAGAGAAAAAGAAAGAATAAACTGTTAGGAGAAAACATTTGGGTGCAGAGGGGGAAGGAGCATTGTTTCAGAACACAGAAATATTCGTCTTTGCTTTTATCATATCTGTCATTCAGCTGAAGTTTATTAAACAATAATTAATGTTTTCACTTTCTGCTGGTACAATGCAGATGTACTTAAAAACTACTGATTTTCTGTGATTTTTTTTTCTTCCCTGAAGTAACCAAAATACATCTGAAACTATTTTTAAATCTCAAAAAGAAAATCACAAATTGCTATTCAGAAATACCAGTACAAAGTGATGCAAACCAGCCCTGTAAAAATTTGCTTCAGTATTTAGTAAAGGAAAATTTTAAGGAACAAAATGCCTAGAGCAACAGAAATTGCTGTTTGTTCTTTAAGTTTAATAAGGTTAAAAATTCCTCTGAATAAGAGCTGGAAGCAAAACTGGCTAAGAACCAAAATAAAACCACCTACACCATTTAATTGAATTAGTTCAGAGATGTACAATCAGCCCCCTTGACATAAAGTCAATTAGTGTTTTTAAAGCACTTTCCACTGTAATAACTCATGTGCACTTCTGAGCATACCACAAAGAAGGGGTTGGATTTAGCTAATAGACCAATGAGGTGATTTATTTAAAGCACAATTAAGTGGATGTCCCATCCAGGTCCTTGGTGAGCTGCACTGCTGCTGGGTGTGATCTGTCACCTTGTGGAGCACAGCCCTGCAGTGCACACCCAAACCAGACCCGTTCATCACAAATGTCCCTGCACATTTCTCACACTGCCTGAGGCTTCTGATCAGCATTTTAATATTAAATGCCCCCTCAAATACTTGCAGTCTCAACAATTCTCCTGATATACAGCTGATTCTTCAATTCATGAGAGGTAGATTTATTCTCTGCAAGAATTAAAATGGTTTCTCCCTCTCAACCATGCCCCAGGTCTTTGCAACAGCACCTAAGAGACATCAGTTGAGAGAACACCACCAAACATATTTTGTTACTTCTTAAATGCCAGTCCCAAGCAAGATTGTTTAATATTGAACAGCGTTAAAGCATTTGCCAGGCACTGCCAAAAGACAAACAGATATCCCTGGAGATTTTTACTCTGTCCTCTCTGAAAGGGAAAAAGAGCTCTTACATAATTGTACCATTGCTCTTGAATGCTGCAGCCTGACTTTCCACACAACACAAAGGAGATAAATCAGAAACTCGGGTTAAAACCTGGAAGGAGTTCCACCAGCAAAGGCCTGGCCAGGAACAAAAAAGCAAGAGGAGCTGGCATAGGAGCTGTCAAAAAGAAGTGCTGGAGTACATCTGTCAAACAGGCTTGTGTTTTAGTGAAGCTGCCCAGAGCAGAGGAGGATGAATGTCCTGAATGGCATCAATGCTCTGTCATGTGCAGGCTGTGAGGCCAGTGGGAGTGATCCAACGGGGCAGGAAAGGGCTCTCCTGTGGAGCCAACAGCTTCAGCACAGAGAATTCCACCAGTGCTGACAGGGACAGTCCTGCTCCAGAGGAGCCCATCAGCACCCAGCCCATCACCAGTGCTGACAGGGACAGCTCCAGCTCAGGGGGCTCAGCCTGGCCTTCAGACTGCAGAAATGCACACTCCATGGCATCTGCAGGCCTCATCCTCCTCACACCTTCTCTCAGGGTATCATCTAGAGAGCAGAATGCTTGGACTTCTGTTCCATCAGCTCTCCTAAGAGCTGAGGAGGTTTCTGTGAGTCAGAGAGTGAAATAATTGAGTTTTACCTGCAAGAGCATTAATGCAACTGCTTCTGCCAAAAAGAGTGCACTAAAGCAGCTTTTAATATCCCTGCTTGAGGAAAGACTTGACTATCTGCCCATTTAGATTATAAACTCTTTGGAAATGAGAACTGTTAATGATGGGACTCTGAAACTTGGCTACACTAAAGTTTGCACCAAGAGAAGATAAGTGCCAGTAGCTCAAGGCAACTTAGTCCTAGCTAAACAAAATTAGATTCTTTTTTCCCCCAGCTTTTTGTGGCCCAGAAAAATCTTCACATGACGTAGCCAGCTCTCCAAGCTACCAAAGATGCACTTACAAAGGAGCATTTTAATGGTAGGCCACTGTCTGAGAGTGCATTAATGCATCTATTGCCTTGGAGACAGAGAAAGGGCAGCCTGTGGAGACAGAATGAACCCTCTATGACATAGAGCCTTGGCACATCCCTATTGACATGGTCTAAGGGACTGGATTATGCTGGAAGGGGGCAGGAATAGTAAAACAAGCCAATGTGAAAGACAGGGGATGCAATTTCAACAAGATCTAAATTACTCTGGGTTTAATTCATAAACATATTGGACTGATTGCTGCTTTAGCATCATTAAAAGACTTGCTAAGATTACCTCATGACTGTTAAGCCCATAAGGATTCAGTGATTCTTTTAATAAATAACACTTTGAAGTCAAATCCATAAAACAGGTTTAGGCTAAAATTAGAAGAGTTCTAATAAAATGCCCTGTGAATACAAGTGTTTCAACAGATACCACCTTAAGCATGCTTCCTTGTGCTGCACAATAGCACGCTCACCCAGAAAAGGAAGGGCAACAAATCAAATATGAGGGTGGGTTTGCCACCCATGCTGGGTGCAGGGAGGCTGTGCCAGGCTGGAACCATCAGGCTCCAGCACTGCACAGGGCTCTGGCACCAGGTGCAGGGCTGTGGGAAGGCACAGGTCACTGCAGCACGGTGGCAGTACTGTGATCCTTCAGCCTTTCTGCTGCTGTCTCCAGGTTGATTAGTGTGCAAAATACATAAAAAGCACATGAGATGAAAAGAAAAGGAGTTACAAAGGTTTTTTTGCTTCCACCAACATGAGACACTGCCAGTCTGTATTTCTTTTTTCTCCCCAGACAAGCTGCTTGGCAGTCCCATCCTCTGGCATGCCCAAATTGGAGTTCTCCCACTCCTTTCATCTGTCACTGGGAAAAAATGCAGAAGTGACATGTCTGGGCTCGTAGCAACCGAGCTAACTGGCACAGCACTGAAAAGACCACCGGCAGCTAAACCATTCACTGCACTCGGCATTTGCAAACACAATAAATGCTGGGGACACTGGGGACATTTTTCAAAAATGCTTCTGCCAGAGACTGAATCAGGGAGAGTCAGTTCAAGCCTGTTTTGTCTTACCAGGGTCTTCTGCTGGGATTTGCTACGTACCCTGTTCACCCCAAACACAAACATCCTCCACCAACAGAGAAATGTGCCAATCCTTAGGGAACACAGCAAAACAGGGCTGGGCTGATGAGGTTCTGCTCTTGCTGCATTCCCAGTGGATTCACAGCAGCACTGGGGGACATGGGGCAGAGGAGTTACACTGCACAGCAAGGACATGGCACATCCTCTAGAAGAGAAAGGAATGGAGTTCTTCTCCAGAGGAACAATCCCCATCCTTGGGTGACACAGGTCAGTATGGTGAGAAGCACTGAGATTCTTGCCATGAGCACACACACAGCTCCCAAACCCGCTCACAGCCTGGCCTTCCCCTGCTTTGCCCCCCTGGTGTTAGGAAACCCAGTGAGCAAGAGCATCAGGAGCAAGCCGGGCTGGGGAAGGCAGCCATGCCCAAAAGGGATGCATGGACAGCAGGACACAGGAAATCCAGCACTCACCTCTGAGGAGTCGGCATACCGAGCAACACGTGCACACTGAAAGAGGAGCTGAGCATTAGGAACTTGTCGCTGAAGCCACTCACTCTTAGAAAACACTTGGCACCTTTTTGAAGTGCACTTCAAGGCCCTGGTGTGCACAGGGAGATGAGTGTCTCCACGGACCAACATGGAGCACAGACTCGGGAATGTGCTCATGCCAGGCTGTGTCCATGTGGGTGTTAGATACAACTCCCTGGTGCTGTCCTCAGACCATGAACAGAAGTAACTCCTGACTGGAGGGACCTGGGATAAGCAATCTTGGAGCATGGATGCACAACCCAGTGCAAAAGGCTGTGTGATAACAAACACAGGGGGCAATACTGGGATTTGTAAGGCTGTGTGTCTGTATTATTTCAGTAGATTTAGAATTCTGGTAGAAGTCTGGCTGCTGCAAGCACTCACACAGCTTCTAAAGAAATCTATCCACAAACCCCTGATCTTCCTAAACCAGGAGGGTCCTACAGGGATTAATAACCTGATGGAATTGCCATCAGGATATTTATCCCCCCCACAGTGAAAGCAGGTGATTCATATCTGTTCATGAACATGTGTGAAGCTTACAGCTTCATCTTGAGCACAGTTTATGTTCCAGGAAACAGCCTAAATTTCCACTTTGAGCCTTTCAATTTAATGCTCACAGTGGCATCACTGATTCCACATTAAAGAAAGTTTTTGAAGAAGAAAAGGTTTGAGCTCTGTGTGATTTTTTTTTTTTTTTTAGTTATGATTGTTCTGCACTGGGGACACTGGAAGTTCTTCTATAGTTTCACAGTCATTTTAAAGCAGCACCATTGAAAGCAGATGTCTCACTGTCCCTTGCACTCTGGCCTCCTCCTCCTTGTCCCTTGCTGATGTCTGTGCTGCTGCTCTCCACTGGCTTGAGGATCTGACCCAGGTCAAGAGCAACTTGGAAGCAAGAGAGAGCATTTAACTTGAACAATTCCGTGACAGAGGCCAGCATGTAAAAATAATATTTAAATGAATCCAAAGGAAAAGACAGATGGGCCAGAGTCAAGCAGCTGGGTTGACTGAGTGGGAGTGCTGCCTCACATTGGCTGGATGCTGCTGTGAAACTATGGGCTTTCTCAAGAGATCTGCTGTGGGTTCAGCCTCTGATCTTACACAGAAGAAAGTTGATCACAGTTTTATGAGACTTTGTTCTCTGGGAGTTCATGCAACATATATCTGGGTTGTTCTCACACATCCTTCTGGTGGATGGGGAATGAATACCCAAACACATCCTGACTGCTGATGTTCCCCCACCTTTGTTCTGTACTGCAAAGCCTTTGGTCCTTCAGCACAAGACCAAAAAAACAGCTTTGATTCTGTCCTGCTCAGAGGAATGGAGAGTATCAGAAAGCACGCTGTCCATTTCTGCTTCGAAATCATTCCAGGTAAGAATGATCTTAGCCTGGGACAAGCTTAAGCAGAAAGAACACTGGGTTTGGGCAATACAGAGGGTGGCTGCATTGTTTGTGATCCTCTGCCCCAGGCAGCATCAGCTCTGGACACTGACTGTCCTGTGATGCAACACAAATTAAGGTAATGCTGTAAGGTTAAGAAGTGCAAAAGCTCCTGTTAATAAAGACAAGTTTATATGTGGATTGTTACTGGACATTTGCCAGAACAACAGGATTCCCTTGAAAAATATTTGGAAATATTGTTCTGGAATTTACACTTTCCCATAACAATGCACAGCCACATGACATTTACAGTTCCCAAAGGAAAGAGGCAGTTCTGCCTGTGGAAAGGGCACAGGTTGGAGCAGGCATCGAAGTAAAATGTCACAGTCCATCATCTGGGTGCCAGGACAATAAACTGAGAAATACTGAACCAAGAGTGAAGTGAAAAATCAGAAAATCAAATGAAGAGGTGGTGGGCATTCTACATGGAAGAAGAGGCTCACTGTGTGTCCTTGGTGCCCATCAAAGGAAGGTGTGCACATCTCCCTGGAGCTGGTGCCTCGTGGGGTGTGCTGTTTGTGGGGTCAGCAGCCACCCACAAATCATGGCAAAAGCAGCTTCTGCCTCTTTGTGTCATCTGGCTGTGGCTTTGGACTGGGTGTGAGGAGGAGGAGAAGGCTCTTTCTGTGTGGGAACACGCCTGGAGCCCACTGTGTGCTGAGTGTCCCACTCCTGCAGAAGGAGCATCCTCACAGCACAACTGCACAATGCACAGGCACCACTGAAAGGCAGCACAGACAGCAAAAGGTAAAGCTATCTCAAAGGCAGCTCTTGCTTATTGTATTTCTTGGCCTCATAAGACACTCTTCAGCAAGCTAAAAAAAACCAAAAACAACCTTTTGCTGTATCTGCTTGAAGCTGTTACAAAATGGCAAACTCTTCACACAGTACTTTGTGTCAAGAGGGGATTCAAAGAATCACAAACCCATCTAAGCAGCACCATTCACGTTACAAAAATAACAGCAGTGCAAACAAAACAGGCTGAGTGTTTGTGCAGCCTGGTCCTACAGCCAGCTTTTATTCTCAGCCAGAGCCCACTGGTGTCAGGAGAGCCTTTTCTCATGCTTCAGTGGGCTCGGAAACGTGCCCAAGAGTTGTGAAACCAGAACCTGAACCACTTGCTGGTGCTCACAGGGGGCTGGGGGGTTTAACACCAAAAAAAAGGAATTTTAGCATTCCCTTCTGTGCAGAAAAGACAACAACCTCTCCCTATCCCCCTGTCTTTCCAAAACACTTTATTTCAGATATCACATCTGCTCTTAAACACAACAGGACTGGAACCAGGTCTGACTGTGTGTCCCCTGCTCAGGATGGGACCCAGATAAACAACTCTGAGCTCAACCTAAAAAGCCTCTCTTCTCCCAGGTGGGGTCAGCTCTCAGCATCCTCCATGCCAGGTCCTGTGTGATGACAGGGTTTAGCTTTCATTGGCTAATTTAGTTAACATGCATTTTTATGCTCAGACATCATTGCTCCAGCTATACCTTAATTCTAACCATATGAGCTTCAGAGCTCTCATCAAAAGGGGATGGTGGTTTTGGTGTGTGTTTCTTTCCTGAGTGCTTAATCTAAAGTTCTATAATAGCAAGGCTATTAGCCCTCAGAAACTGAGCTCTGCTGTGTTGTCAGTCAAAGAAAGCACACAGGTGAGAACATAGCTCTGTGTTTTTCACTGTGAGCATAACCTTTAACTCCTGCCCTCATCTAATCCCCTTAATTAGTGTGGTCACAAAGAGATCAAGGAGCAGGCACAATTCTAGCTGGCAGCAGTCAAGGACAATCAACATAAGCCTCCTTTGAATTATATAAAACTTTGGGGTTTGTTTTGGGAATCATTATCCTCCTATTTTAAGGTTTCTCTTAGAACACCAGGAATGGAGCATTTACAGAAGGAAAAGGTAAGATGTTTCCTTTTTTGTTGGTTCTTTTCTTAATGTTGCTAATATAATGTGTGGATTTGCAATGGGACTAGGATGGAAGGAAAAAAGAGAGGGAAATACCTCTAAAAAGCAAAAAAAAAGCAAAAAAAATCTACTTTAAGTCTTCTTTGAGGGACAAGCTGCTGATATAAGAGGTGATAAAGCATCAGGAAAATAGAAGTACAATGCAGGTTCTGTAATTCACAAGAAAAATTCTCTATTTAAAATGTGAGTACCCTCATGCCAAACATAGTCTAGGTCATTTTTCATGACTCCATCTGATGTCACATTGACTATGTCCCACTATTTCTAAAGCAGGTAAAAAACCAGAGGAATTCAATGTTTCTGTGAGGCAGTGGGACATCTGACAGGGATATTTATGCCAACTGAGGGCTTTGAGACAGGAGGAAGGGCTGTGTGTCTGCCCTTCTGTAGTGACTGCTCATGCACACTCTCACATGTGCATAAATAACACACTGATGGGCAGAGGAAAATTCTATCTATCCCTTAATTATGTCCAGCTCTCCAACTAAACAAATATGAAAGGTGGAATGATGGAGCTATGTCTGGGCTTAGTGTGCCCAGAGCAGTGTCACATCACCAGAACATGGCCCTCAGGATGTGGCACAGTTTGGATGGCACATCACAGTCTTACACACACACAGGACAGCTGACTCTGATCAGTTCTCCCCTCCTGACGTTCTGAGTGCACACAAAATGGTGCCCACATGAAACAGCACAAGGACTGGAGAGAACAGAACTGTATTTTTCACTTCCTGTGATCAAAAGTGAGAGCAAAGCTCATGGCTGGAGTCTCCCACCACCTGCAAGAGGAGTCTGTTTGTATTCTCTGCAGGTGGAGAATTTTTTTTAAAGCACCTCAATGCAATCACCAAGTGAGATGAGACAGATAAGGTCTTAGCAGATTTTGCAAATTTGTGCAGTTTCCATTTTAAAAAAAATTAAACTCAAAATCTCAAATTACTTGAATCCAAAATTTGTGATAAAGACTTAGTCTGAGTTCAAAATGTTTATGAACAATTTCAGAGATTCATTCTGAGAGCTCCTTGTACACTATGGACACAAAACCAGACCAAAATGAAAAACTCTTGTGTCTTGAAACAGGGTCGCCCATTTAAAAAAAATTAAATTCAAAATCTCAAATTACTTGAATCCAAAATTTGTGATAAACACTTAGTTTGAGTTCAAAGCATTTATGAACAATTTTTCAAAGATTCATTCTGAGAGATCTTTGTGCACTATGGACACAAAACCAGACCAAAATTAAAAACTCTTTTGTCTTGAGACAGGGGTTTGTGGCCAGGTGAGCTGACTTCACTGTCTCAAGAGCAAAACTACAAAGGCTGCTCTACTCAGTGTGGAACTAAGATAAGTAAATTGTGGTTTATTTGTGTCATTATTTATTTTTGTCTAAATATGTGACTTTTTAAAGACTTTTATATTCTGTGTGTGAACACTTTATTTTCAGACCGATTAGATCAAGAGAAGTGTACACAAGGCCTTATACAAAGATGAGAATAAAACCACTGTGCACCAACATTTCCGTTTACCCATAAAGAAAATGTATTCAGCAGATAATATTTTAAAAAACAAGGAGAAGTCTGATTCACAGAATTTGTAAAAAGCTTGAAGGATACTCTTTAGGAAGCATGAGACAGGACATTTATAATACCCAGGCTTAAAACTGTGCAAGTGTTTGCACAGACCTCAACCCACAGCAGCTGGAACTGCTGAGTTTCTGACTTGCCAGCATATGTTTCACAAGCTACCAAGTGCAACACGCCTGCAACCTTCCATGGTTTCTCATCACAGCACTGGAGTTGAGTGATCTTTGGTGGTGTGTGGGAATCCCAGAAACCATCTGGAGCCACCTCCTTGGGATAACCCTCCATGTCTCAGCTTTTGAGATCTAATCTGCAAAGCTATCTCCAATTAAATGTTTTGGATTTGGACTCACAAAGGTTTCTTTAACCAAGCTTGACATAAAATTTTTAACTGAATCCTCAGGAATGGATCTTATTTACAGCATGATATTTCTTCCCTTTGTTCTTTCACAATTAGAAAACAAACCATTGTCCTTAGGACACACCCTTTTTTCAGCATGGCTTGCAGCCCCCAGCCCAACTTTCCAGCTCAGGTTGCAAAGACTGAGTCTGGCTTCTCTGCACACTCAAGTCTCATCCTTGGTACCAGCCAGGAATAGTAACCATCAAATGATGATACTGTTTTTTTCTCCCAAGTGCCAAGAGACTCAACAGCATGTCTGAGTCCTGGAATTCTGGTATGTGCTGGCTGCAGTGTCCATTTCTCTCTGCTCCTGCCAAGGGCATGACTTCACTGAACAGTGTCATATTCCAGACAGCACAACACTGAAAATAACACTGGCACTTACCTGAGCTGCCAGTGCCTTCTGATGCACTTCTGGATGGTTTTGGGTGGCTCTGTTTGCTACCTGTTCGTACAGTGACCGAGGGAGGAACGGTGCTGCTGCTGTCTCCGCGAATGCTCGACAGGTCCTGCATGCTGAAGCTCCGTAGTCTCTCAGACAGGGCTCCCTGTCCCTAGGTGAACAAGCAAGTCAGTAACACAAAGTTAGAGCCAACATTTTGAGACTCTTCGCTCTCTTGCTCATTGAAATCCATCAGGATAATAGGAAGAGATAAAATGGTGTGGTCCAGTGACCTAGAGGTGAGAAAAATGTGTTGATAAAAGCATCATTGCCTCTCTTGGCTCTTCCTTTTGGAGTGGTTCTATGGCAAACATCTCTGTGAGCACAGAGCAGCCTTGGCCATGTGTAAAGGAGCAGGATGTTGCTTTGTCTTTCTAGTAGGTACTTTCCTTCACTAGGAATGAGTCAAACAGATGCTTGGCTTCAGAATCACAATTAAATGGCCGGCATCAAAATAACTTCCTTTTAAAGTTAGCCATCTATGATGATATTCACCCAGCCATTCTCAGCAGTACATAACATTTCCAGAGTACAGAAAATTTGAAATTTTAAGCTAATAAAAAGATATTGTTAAATTGCAAGAACTATAACAATGCTTTTTTTCATGCAGCTTAATGAAGAAACAATTAATGCAATATTTTTCTTTATTTTTATGCTACTTCTCAATCTGACAACAGAGATATTCCTTGGTGAAAGGAATGTAACTGTAAAGGATAGGTTGGTTAGGTGACACTTTCTATTAAAACTGCACCCCATCAAAAGGCTGACTGTAAGTATTTTGTAACCCTCATACTACACTACAGCCATAAAGTAGGAACACCAGAAAAATCAATACATTCAGAATCATAGAGCTTTTGAGCTACATTAAATGACATTCAGAATATAAATTGCATAACTTTGATTACATAAATTGCATTTATGTTCTAACTTTTTATTGAGGGGGGAGGATCTGAAAGAGACTTCACAGCACATAGTCTTGAAAAAAATACTGAAGTAAACACATAGAGCCTGATTCTAACATTCTTTCTGCAAATGTAACTTAGGAAAAAAAATCAGTGGATGATTTGACTGAGATGAAATCAGAAAGAAGGCAAATAACAGACAGTAAATACTGTCCTGTTTAACAAAAAGATAAGGGAACCTGTAGCAATTCACCCACCACTTTCATCTGGACTTGTATTTGTCCAAGCAGCACAGCCTGACCACAGCCACAGGACCAGGGCTGGGCTGGACAGAACACATCAGTGCTCCCTTCTGGGCTGCAGCTTTGAGTATCCTGGCCCAGGGTGCAGAGCAAGGCCAGTGGAGAGCTCACTCTGGTGCTGGTCTGGCAGAGAGGAAGGACTCATCCTGAACATCTACAATCAAAGGCAAGACTGGACACATTCCTTGCTAAAGCTGTTGGGCAACACTGCCTGTCCCCTATGCACTGGCATTGATCCATTGGGAAGGCAAAGCAATAATTTACCTACTGTTTTGTCAACACCACTTCAGAAATTCTGCATGCACAGTAAAGGAAAATCAGTGCCTCTACCTCATACAAATTCCTCAGCACTTTACTTTTAGGGTGTGTAAGTAGAGAGGGCATCAGGTGCTGATACCTACAGTCACTGTGACAGTCTGCACTTTTTACATTCAAGAAAAGTGACAGACCAGTAATCTCCAACTTTTCAGCCTGAAGGTTTTTATACAAGAAAAATGAGTTCAAGCTTCCTTCTCAACTCCACATTTAGTTTTCCTGCAGACTGTTACAGAGAAGCAGCAGACTTACTTTGCTCTTTCCCACTATTCTACTTTTGAAAGCATTTCAAATTGATGGGGCTTCTTTGCTCAAATACCAAGACATATTATGTTGCTGATTTTATATGCATGGAAGTGGAGTCCTTAGAACTTATATTTTGCTAAACTCTCACCTCTGCCCTCGCACTCTCCAGCCTGGCTCAAGTGTTGATGCCTGAATTTTGGCTACTCCTGCCAGTGGCTGAGCCACTCTTGAGGTATGTTCTCACTCCAAGAGGCATCTCCAGTTAATCCTTTTGGGCCAGTGTAAGCTACATTTACTCTGCAAATGTTCCTGGGCTGGTAACTGCAGTTGCCTTGCATGGCTGGTCAGCTGGGTGAGATCTCAGCTGCCCAGAGCTCAGTGCAGCTCTGGATGGGTTTTGGAACCTGCACTGAATTCCTGCACAGACACCCTGTTCTCAGTGGCTGGTTCAAAGCCAACACAAGATATCCTGCCCTGCAGCCTGATTACAACAGGCAGAACTCCAGTGAGAGCAATCTGACCATTAAATAACATTTTGCTGTTGCAGAATGACCAGGCCAGCAGAGCCAGAGGGTTGGAACTGATGAACTGTAATTTGAGTGCTGTATTCCTCCCTCACACCCAGCTCAAGTGTCAGCAGGGCTCAGGCTTTTCACCTCCCCCCAGCTGCTCTGCTCAGCCAGCTAACCCAAATTCCATTTCAGTCCAGCCAGCGATTTCTGTGTGTGGACATGAGTCAGGTTAGAGAGGAGATTCATGTGTCAGACCAACCTGGCAGGGAAGATGACACCAACACACAGAAAATGAAGAAGATGTGTGAATATTCTTGCACTGTACCTTGTGATATAGCAACACAGAATGATCAAAGGCCCCAGGAGAGCTTTGAACCAGGGACCTGATATGTGCTTGTCATCTATGGCTCTGTTACATCAGCATGTAATACAGAGCTTGAGCACAGACTGAATCAGCTGAACTAAACAACCTTGACTTTCACCAGGAAAAAAAGAGCTAAAATTGCCTTTTTTTAATTTTTGCTTTAATTTAACCTCAGTTTCTAATACCAAAAATAAAGATGGTTTATAATACAGGTAGTAGCAAAATATTACTTTTTACTGTTCCTACCATTCTATGAAATAATTTTTCCAAATATCAGAAATGGCAAGAACAGCAAAGGCCTGGGCTGAGTGAAGGCACTGAACACCTGTGAAAACCTGCAGAGTTCCATTTCCTTTCTTTGGCCTTTGTAGGGATAAACTTGATTTACTTGCTCCTAGAATACATTGTAACATTCACAGTTCTTGCCCAGTTACCATATTTTTACTTGACCCCAAATATAAATGTGACAGAAATTACCACAGAATGGGGATAGTTTCAGAATAAAATGGAAAATATTGTTTACCAACCTTTATTTCCCTACTATATAAGCAGCTGGTATATATGAAATCACAAATATTTGAAAAACCAGCATGATGAGGGTTGGCAGAGCTGTGTTGCAGAAATACTTTATCCAGTTGAAATGTTTATTATTCCACAAAAAGACTTATCTTTTATTAGCAAAAGAAAATAACAAGTTAATAGCTGTATTTCTCAACAGAATAAATTTAGCACAGCACGTGTTTTGGGCTGTGTTTTGTTAAAACAATAATGTGGAAGATGAAGAGCAGCTGTTTGGGGGAATTTTTGTTTACTGTTGTGGCCATGATCATGCAGATGCTCTTCCAACTGCTATGGACATGAGAGATATCCCAGGAATTTCAGCACAGAGAGAGGATCCAGCTCCTGAAGCTAAGCCTGTGCTGCAGGCCAGAGGCATGTTTGCAGCACATCCCCACAGATCTGGGCTAGTTTTATCCTAGAGAGTGTGACAGCACTAACACATGGCAGCAGCTGCAGTAACACCATTTCACTGTGTCAGCAGAGAAACTGCTCAATGTTATCACAAAGCCTCCTGAAAACTGTGACTGGGAGGGCTGTGGGACTAAGGATGACCCCAGCTCTCTCTCCTCCTCACTGAACACCAACAATTGCCAGGATGATTGTGCTGGCAGTGTGGGACCTGTGTTTTCAGGACTTCAGAGGACACAAGCATGAAATGGTGCTGGAAAACTGAGCCTTAACTTCCCTGGGCACAAGACTCCCTGCCTGGACTCAACTTCTCATCCAGCTTATCTTCAGACATGGACCACCCCTGTGGGCATGGAACTTCTGATTTTACAGACAGTGAGTTGGTGAGACAGTGAGGTTCTGGTGGGAACAGGTGTCTCTCTGTTCCCTGATCACTGCAGTGCATCTGTCCCCAAATTCATCTGATTGTGACCACAGGTGAAGGTACAGCACAAATGGAAGTGGAGCTCTGCAGGCTTCCTTTCCCCAGGATCTACCAACCTCACAAGTTCTCTTTTTCCAGAGAAGAGCCAGGGCTCAGTGCTACTGAATAAGATAAAACACTAAAAAGGACACAGTAGTATCACTGCCCAGTCACTGCTATCACTTGGTATCAACCTTGTTTAGATTCATGACTGCACCAACAGTTTGAGGGCATTGGCCACCAAGACAAGCTGCAGGAGCTCATTTGTGATTCTAAGTGAAATTAAAGCTCCTATCCACATGGCATAGTAATTAATCTCAAACTAATTTAAGTATATCTGCTTCATTTGGTCAAAATGACAGTAGTATAGAATTCCTTCCTCACCCACATCTAGCACACTCTCTCCTTTTTGCTTTAAAGACTGTGACAAAACAGTATTAAAACACTGAGCTTCCAGAGCCAGCAACCTGCACACTGCCTTCCTCTTCTCCTCTTCATGTTGCAAACATCACCATCATCATCTCCAAAAACAAACATCAACCTCTCTGGGTCCAGAGCACAAACACTGATGCAACCAGTATTTGCCTGGAAGGATCAGAAATACTTTCAAAAAACTGACATCTGCATTGTGACAAGCACTGTAAAAGACACTCCATCAGAAATTTCTTTCTCCATCTTTTAATTTCTTTCACCACTTTATAATCAGTCTCTGCATTCTCATTTGAACTAAAACTTTTTAGAGGAAAATGCATTTAGGAGTCTGGGAAAATCTGGGTTTAAATGCAATGGAATTATTAGCTATAAATACTTCACTAATGTATGTAGGTAGCTAAAGCTAAAGTACATCAAAATAAACAATATTTTAAAAATCTGCAATTTATATAACAGTCCCATTGAATATGATCTAAATATAAACAAATAACAGTGTCTAGACCTTATCATTCCTTCAGTCTGAAAATATTAAAGAATTCTGTAAACATTATTTAGGGTTCAAAACACCTCTAATACCTACAAATTCCATTTTGCAGCTGTGGAAACTATGACACAGCATGACAAATCAGGAACCCAAAACTGCCAAGTCACAAAAGAGAAGCTTTTAATACAATCAGTGTTGATGCAGGATGGCACCTCCTGGCCTTTTGTCTCTTAGGATCAGCAGTTAATGGACAAGCAAGGGAACATGAAGTCACACTCAGCACACTTCCAGCACAATCCTCAATCTGTTAATGGTCTCCTCTCTTTTTGCTGTGACTGTGGTTAGCAGTTCTCCCCCACAGATGCCTGCATGCATGTCAGCCTCCATCCTACAAGGTGCAGAGCACATTCCCAGGATGCCAGCTGGGGCTGTGGTGTCAGCAGGACTGCCCCAACCACACCTGTCAGAGATCCTTCAAAAGCTCCACTGCAACCCCAGCCATCCCCACAGGGGTCACAGCACAGGGAGAGAGGCTCCCTTCATCCATTAGTGAGAACACGACAGCACACACAGCAGCTTGGCCAACGAAGCAGCAATCAGCCCAGTTAAATGAGTGTTCCATGTAAAAGCTCCCTGCCTGGAGCTGGAATCCCTTCCACTGCCAGCAGAGGACTTGGAAGGCAATTTGCTGATGAGATCAAGGACAGGCTTTTAAAGCTCAGCACGCAGGATCTACCCACTGGAAGCAGAGCAGACAGCATTTGGCCTCAGACCAATCTCAGCTGGAAACAGTCCAAACTAGTCTAACAACTAGTCTAACAACTAGTCTAACAGGGAGCAGACATTAGTTAGGGGTTAGTAAAAGCACTCAGCAGATTACCTGCCCTTTTTTCTGGTCCCAATACAAGTGTAAATGGAGTAGCTGAGAGACCTAGCAAAGGGAAAAAAGAGAGCCATTGTGGCAACACACATAAAAGCTTTGAGAAATAAGATCTATTTGAAGCATAAGTAATTAAGGTGAGACATGAGCATGACACTGGGCACCATGTGCAGGGACTCACACATAAAAAGCAGGACACCCACCTGTGGGCTACACCTAGGTCCTCGCTTCCTCAGCTTCCCCAGAGAGATGGTGAAACCACTCCTTAACCCCAGCTGACAAGGTGTTTTTAAAGAGTAAAGCAAATTATAAACACAACGGGCTGCTACTCCACTCCTTGCACTTGACTGATACTTCCCACTGGAGAAATCCCCAGTGCCAGGCCTAATGACTAATTGAGGCACAGGATTATGTGAGGGACACGTGGCAGTCATTTTAGTCCTGGTGACTGACAGTTCTCCTGAGCAGTAGGGTGACAGTGGGGAATTGCTCACAGCAGTGAGCAGGAGTTTGCACACAGAAGCTTCCTCATGTCCTGAGCAGAACCATCAGCTTTATGGCCTCAGCACAGGCATGACTGAAGGAGTAAATTGCTTCTGCCACCATATGAACACAAATATCCTACAAGAAATATCCTTATTTATGGCCAGAGCCTGCGTGCCATGCCTAGTCTGGAAGAGCTACCTGTTTGGAAATGTCAGACAGCAATAAAGACTCAAAGGGAAACCAGCTGACGTTAACGTTGATGGTGGAAATGTAATTTCATCCACCCTTTTTGTTTGTGCAGTTAATTTCCTCTCCAGGGAACTCTTTGTTATTGTTTCTCCCACACTAGTCTCTCTGTCTAAGTTTATTTTTTGGTTCTGCTGTCCTGTGCATTCAGTGAGTGTTGTTTGCTTGTTGGAGACACCAACCAAATCTCCCACACTAGTCTCTCTGTCTAAGTTTATTTTTTGGTTCTGCTGTCCTGTGCTTTCAGTGGGTGTTTGCTTGTTGGAGACACCAACCAAACAGCCATGAACGAGGAACTGGAAAGAGTTACCTGGACTGTAACTCAAACAGCACTAGGATTCTACAGATTTGTGAAAAACAGATTCTTAAAGACTTCTGAATAAAAGATGCATCACACATGACAAGAATACTTCACAAAGCACTGTAATCAGTGGCATGCTACCATATATTTTAAGAAATTCATTTGTTATTCCTCTTTATTGGTGTAAAATAGCTCCAAGATCTTTGATTTTGGATCCCAAATGCAGATCCTTTAAAAGCAGCTACTTTCAAAAGCAACAAGCTCAGCCCCTCTGAGATGAGAGCAAAGTGTCCCCAAAGGCTTCTCAAACTGTGAACTCTAAATCACTCCTGACCTCTGCAGCTCTAGGCCATGTTACTGATGAGGGCACATGATGTGGCCATCACAGATGTGGTGCTAAGCAGATTGCTCAGAACTGTGCTCCCATATGTTTGCTCAGCAAAGGAGCACTCTCCCCCTGAGCATTGGGATCTAATCATTACAAAGAGGCTTTATCAAGCATCTTAAGGGAAAGGATGCTCCCCACCCCTGCCTCCCTCTCCCAGTTCAAGTAGAAGTGCAGTTCTCCACTGTTATGTCCCAAAAAGGCAGCATGTCTCTCCCACACAATTTTTTTTCCCAGTTTCCACAGTAAATAGGTCTGAAATTGCACAGTAAATTAGGGATCTAAATATTGATTTTCAGGCAATTGCACTGGCTACACCAGCTGGATACTAGAAATCACTTAAAAGATGCTGTTTGTCTAAAGAGAATAAAGCCTAAATCATCACCAGCATTCCCCTCTAAGTGTCCTGGTTTAAAAACCAGCAAAGGCACTGAAAAACTTCCTGATAAATTTCTTAGGCTAAAGGTCCTTGAGGTAACGAAGCCATAACCCTCCAGGGGAAGGTGAGCCCAGGGGTGGAAATAGAAATGAATAGAATGGAAATGCCAGCCCAGACAGGTGGTTTGGGAACTGCTGAGGCTGCACTGCTGGGCATTAGCTGAGCAGGAGGGTGCACACCCTGACCCCTCCTGCCTGCCTGCTCCCCTGAGCAATACCGCATTCCCCACGCATGACAGGCTCCTGCACTGCTGCTCAGACTCATTAGGCACAAACGGGCTTTTTACTGGCACCAGTCATGTGTGCCTGTTCCCTCCACCTCTTTTATCTCCTCCTGCCAAGGCTCTGCACCCACTGCCAGCACCACGCTGTGCCCCACTGCCCGGTGTAAAAGCGGGCACGCAACGGGGCACGGCGCCAGCTGCTCTGCCACCTCACCTACAGAAGGGCAGGTGCATTGCCAGAAACCTCTGGAGTACAGTGATCTGTTGGCATGGGATGTTTTCTCCAAATCTCCTTTGAAAAGCAGTGTTGAGGCTGCAACTTGGGGATGATTAAGTGGTTGGGAGCAGGATTTGTCTTCAGGTGGGGAAAGATGCGGGTCTGTTTGGCAGAATTGGTTTGTTCAGGGTGGGGAAAAAGGATACATCCAAACAGGACCTGGGAGACTCAGGAGCTTGAAAGAGAGAGTGAGAGAGCTGGGGGAGAGTGTAAAACTGGTGATGTGTGGGTTGTAGAAAGACAGGAGGCAATGGCAGTGCTGGGCAGGCTTCTGGGAAAGCAAGCAGGGATAGAGGATCTGGGGACTGGGGACATGGCAAAGCAGCAGGTGGTAGCAGGCTCAGGGTGACAGGTGGAGGATAAGTGTTGGGAGTGTGGTGACAGCAAGGGAGTACAAACAAGTGTGCTGGAGAAGGCTGGTGCTGCTTCCAAGCCACTGGAGCTTCTCCTTGCTGCAGCCATTTGTGTCCCAGCTGCTTACACTGAAACCTGACTGGTGGCAGTGAAAAGCCCACTTATGCCCAGGATCCATCTGATGGTTGCACTGCCTGGCTGAGGCTGTAACAGCCCTGCTGCTGCTGCTCCCTTCTGCTGTGACCCAAATGCAAGCTTGTTTTCCCTCCACCAAGGTGAGCTGGAAAGATGGTGGTGGTCAGGGCTCTTCAGGAATGGAAATGGCTGAATTAGCTGGAACTAATTGAAAATGCACAAAAAGCAACAGGATTTACTGCCTGGTCATTTAATCCTGCCACTTAGGACTGACCCACTTGAAGTCACCACATGTGACAGAATCACCAAGTGATGAGGACAGGATTAGAGCCCCAAATGAGATTGTGCTCCTTGGTGGGGGATGTGAGCTGCTGGGAGCAGGGAAAAGATCTGTGCTGAGCACCTAGCAGGGATAATAAACCAAATATCCAACATTCTGTTTGCCTAGTGAGCATCAAAAATAGACTCTCCAGAGAGAGAGAAAACACCCAAGTGAGCCAGCTGGGCAGACCCAGGGTGCTTGGGACACTGACAGCTCCTCAGCCTGTAAAATGAACTGGCACAGGTTTGTGCCAGCATTAGCACAACTGTGGCTTCAAAACAAAACAGAACAGGGGCAGGGAGCAGGAGGAGGGGGAAGGACAAGCCTGCAGTTGGCTAACTGAAACCACAGGGTATTTAAGATAAAAAAGGGAAAGGGACAGGGGATCAGAGGTAAGGAAGGTGTGGCTGTGCACAGCTTGCAGCATCTTAGCCTGCAGTAAATATGTAAACAGCAGCCTGTCACACACCAGTGGTAATCAGAGAGACAGATGCATTGTGTTGGACAAACAAAAAGATGATGGGTAAACAGGATGGATTAAAAAGTACAATGGACAAAAATAATGGATAAAAAAAAAAAAGATGGATGAAAAGAATTAAAATATGAACCTCACCCAAAGATCTTATCATGAAAGACAAAAGACCATGATGGATCACAGCTCAGACAGAAAGGAGAGGACAGGGCTAGGCACAGCATGAGACAGGTTCTCCAGGTATAGGAGCCTTTAGATTTCAGCTAATTTACTGAAAACAGATCTGCACAGAGTCCCTTTCCAGCCCAGCAGCTCACTGTGTATTGCCACTACATGAAGATGATTTGCAAAGCCTGGAGGTCCATTTCTGCATACAAAAGCATCTTTTCCTCACCCAGTAATCCAAGTGAAGCAGTAAATAATCCTCACATTCACTTGCTGGTAAAAGCCATGTTTTCCATGGAAGCTGCAGGAGCTCAGTGCTACTGAATAAATCATCATCTCTATAGGTTCCAATTGTAACACAATCCTTTAAAGGCTGAAACCAAATGAACTCACTTTCCTACTACACTCAACACTTATCACAGACTAGCTGGATACCCTTAAATCTTGGCATTGGAAAAGCCATGAGAAGCCTTAGAAACAGTATTCTCCTTCCTCCTTCCCTGGAAACTTCCCCCTAAGGACAGCACTGCAGTCTGGTCTGGCATCTGTCTGCTCAAAGGGTTTTCCAGATAATTAGCCATTTAAATTTCTCTCACACAGGATAATATGGCTCAGTTATACCTTCTCAAGTGAGCAAGGAAGGGCGTTGACATGCAGTTGACAGCAGCTGAACACCAGAAACAGCTCCCACCCTGCCTGTTGTACCACTCCTCTCTGGGAAACAGCTCCCTCCTCAGCAGCAGGGACAGCTACGTGGAGACACATCCACACCCACCCAACCATATCCTGGGTACCTGAGGAGCCCCAGCTCAGCACTCCTGCCCTGCAGCTCACCAGGCTGCAACTCACACCAGGCTGCTCTCCCTGCCAGAACAGCAGCACATTCCATCTCAGAAGGGCAAGGCACAGAAGCTGCTTTAACCATCCCTGGATATTACACTGGGAACAGATTGGGGTGTACCTCCATGGACAGCACAGCTGATCTGTCTGCTTCCCAAGACCAGGAAGGGGTGATCTTGCTTTCCTTTCCTCTGGCCATGCTCCTCACAATGCAGTTCAATTCCTTTCCCTATGCTGGCTCAACCACATGAGATAAGTTTGTGGGCTTAAAAGAACATACCCCTTTATTTTTCTTTCAGAATTAACTTTCTGATAGATTAGAGATAACCTGAGGAGGTCCAAAATGCTGGTGCACCCTGGGGGCTGGAGCACTACCCCATTTTGGAGGAGGAGAGCTGTCAGATTGGCTCACACTCTGTGTTGGATCTGCACCCTTAGGCACACAGAAACAAGCAACTTGCTGAAGGCCACAAGCCAAAGTAGTGAAGGAAGCTAGGGGTCCTATTTTTTCCTCATACATTCAGAGTAATTTAAATGTTAAGGCTAAAGGAAATACTTGAACAGTCCTTTCTTAGTTGCAAAAATCAATCTATTCAATAACCTCTCAATCTTATTAAGAAATCCTTTTCCCCTCCCCAAAGTAGCGTGCAAGAAAGACTCTTCTGGCCCATTTACAGGTTGCAATGTCTTAAGAGTTTTCTCTCAAGTTGTGTTGGCAGATGTGCAATACAATAATACCACATGAGTCACAGAGTTGTTTTCTTCCACCACTGAATGGGGAGTTTCATCAACTATGAAAAACAACAGCTTCCTTGTACCATGGAGACTCTTCCCTCTCTTCCCCATTGCCACTGGAGCCACATTTTAAGGCAGAGAGAGTCTTAAGAAAAACAGCAGAAAAGTGGAACAGTGGGAAGGAAAACTGTGGTGCTGGCTGTTCATTCCAGTTGAACAGCTGATGCAGACACTGTTGCAGTCCTGATGGAGGAACAGGTTGGCACTGTGGGTTTGGGTTACTGTTGAGCTTCTCATATTCAGGAGCTACCTAGACAGGAGCCAGAATTCCTTTGGGATTCACACACAGTTTCTCACTGTGTCCTAAAAACAGCTCTAGCACAGACAGTCTGCAGCACCTTGTAGGAAGGGGCTCAGAGCAAAGGCAGTGCTGTACAATTGGCATTCCTAGAGCCTATTTATGTCCCCAGTGTGACTTCTTCAGGCTTACATGGAAGCAGCAAAAGTGTTAAGTGTCCTGGAGGCATCACAAAAATGGTATTTCATTGGGAATACGATATACAGCACTGGCCTAGCTCCACATTTATCCCAGGTTTCAGTCCAAATTTGGTTTATCTCCCAGTCCCTGGGTTAGAAGAGTTTCCCTACTGAAGAACAACAGCTCAGGAGAAGACAGGCTGGACAATATAGTCTGCACAATGCTAGGCAGGGAAAAAGGAGACAGTTTTTGGGTTTAGCATATCCTTGTGATCCCATGAGCATGGCACACCCTTTGGGCTCCCCCCTTCTGTAATACCTTGCTTTCAACAGGCTTTATAAGCTTTATGGTATTTGGCCTCCCAAGGATACATAATGCATTTTTGCAGGAAGTAAGGCCAAGACATACTAAAGTGATGTGTCTTAAGTAATAGGGAAAGCATTTGGCAGATGAAAATAACTTCCTTCAACTCCCATTCTCATGTTGTTCCTACTGCCAGTACCCTCCTTGTCCATATGTTTCTATCCTTTTGCAACAGGCGCGGTAGCCAAGTCTCACCCCCAAAACACAGTGTGCACATCAACTCTAAGCCCATGGCCAGAGGGCAGGACCCCAAAATGCAGTTATCAAGTCCTTGCAGCTTTTATGCAAGAAAAGGAACAACAGATAACAGCTATTTTCTGGGTTTGGCTCTAAGCCAGGAAGAGACTATAGGATACACCCCTTCAGAGGAGACCCCTCATCCAATATCTACTCATCCTGCAAAAGCAAACAGTGGCACTTCCCATTCACTCTGACATAACATCCCAGCACAGAATTATACAACAGTTATGTTATCTTGTTATGTGTATGCCTTACAGAAGAACTTTTAGCCTTCATGAACTTCATCTTCTTTCCTGTCACTACACAAAATTATAGGTCACTATACAAAATAATGAGAGAACCCTTATCCCCACCATCTCTCCCCCTCCACACTGTGGCTGCTGCTGGCAGAGGATGCAGAGAAGATGTTAATGAGTGCCCCTTACCTTTGAAGCTGCCATGACAGCTGCTGTGGCTGCAACGTTCAGCCCCCGCTTCCCAAAGTGCACAAGGGCATCGTAGCTCCGGTCCTTCGCCTGGATCAGGCAGTCATCGATCTCCTGTCAGAGCAGAACACAAAACAAACAATTAAAAAAGCACAAGAAGGACAAGTTCAGGCTTATGCTCCCAGCCTCGAACTCCTGGCAGAGTCAGGTTATACTTTATGGAGGTAGATGTGCTCCATGTCCTCTGCCGTGGCTGGAAAGAAGTTCACAGCCAACATTTGCAAAGAGAAAAAGTTTGCTGGGGGGTAGTAACTCCCATTGCAGGATTGGGGAACACTTTATTCTACAAATGGATGATTGGGACCCAAAGCTGGGGTCTGGAAGCAAGAGAAATCTGCCTGAGCAACACGGACTGATAGCCATTTGCAAACCACGCACTCCAAAGACAAATGGGATTGCCTCAGAGTTAAAAATATTCATATGATGACACTGGGCAGCTGAAGCTGCACTGCCCTGTGTCCAGGACAGGTGGTCTCAGAAATATCTGGGATATCTCTGCACATCATAGCTTCAAATGCCCATGGAATTGGTAGGCCCAGAGCTTCTGGACTTTGATGCTGCTCAATATACAGTGAAACAGTTAGGGAAGTTCCTGCCCTTATTGTCTCCCTCAGGACACTGGGGTCTAGATGATAATGATAGCAGAGACTTCATTTCTCAGCTGCTGCATGTGCTGGGTTAGTAGGGCCTGGAGGCTGTGCTGCTGGCTGCTCTCCCTGTTCCCCACAGGTGAGAGGTGGCAACTCAAAATGCATGAGCCCTACTTGGGAGAAGCACAAGCAAAGGCAAGCAGAGACAGGGGACTGATTCCCACTGTCCCTCTGGGACAGGACTGAGCTCCAGCTGTTCCTTCACTGCCTGTGGCTAAAGGGACAGCTTTCATTTCCAAGTTGCCAGTGCAGGAAACTCACTCAGCAGTTTTCATGTTGGTATGTGGCAATAGCTGTTCTTGGTCCATTTATTCTCATGAGCCAAATGGATCTGCCTGACAGTGTCCCATTCACAACCACAGGAATCTCCCAGGCAGGCAAATAATCCAAGTTGTAATGTCCCACTCCCAAAATTAGCATCTTTAATTTGAGCAAGACATTTTTTAATCTAGGACCTCAACAGGCTACATGCCTTTTTTCACCACACTGCACAGCCAGACATGTGCTTGCTAAGCCCATTTTAGACTGCCTGGGCTGTCTGCCTCATTGCTGCACAATGTTTTAGGCAGAACAAAGTTGAGGAGCCCTGGCTGCCAGACCAAGTTTCTCTGTTATATCCAGCCACAACAGAGCACTGCAGCTATAATCAGCCAGTACATGCAAAGCAGCTCAGGAGGTATTTTTATCCCACTCCCTCCCACCTTCTCAACTGCACCAAAATGAGTTAATAAGTGTGAGTGCACTGAACAGATGCCAGTATTTAAAAACACAACAACCACAAAGAACAAAAACACCAGCCAAAAAGAGGGGATCAAATGATAGAGGAAGAGAATGCACAACTCCCAATCCTTCCATGAAAATGAATGATACAGGGACTGGAATAAACACACCATAGTTCTGTTCCACTCAGAGAGGATTCAGGCACCTGAGATTACCTTTTCTTTTGAAGACAGGGTTGGATGAACAAATTTCCTGTACAGGAGGCTGGAGCCTTTTGTGTATGGAGACAGCAGCCAAGCTACAAAAGCTATTTTGAGTTCATAGTAGAATGGAAACCTAGAAGAAAAAGAGGGTTACTGTTTGCTTCCAGTTTAACCACTGCCTTTAATTAGAGATGCTCAGCACAGGTAGGGATTTGCCAGCCTGGCTTAAGGCAGTTTTTGCTTACCAAAAAATCTAAGGATTAAAGTGTATTGACTCAGTTTTGAGCACATCTCAATGATGTGGGTGAATCTTTACTTGGTTATCAGAACCTTTATTAAATGACCTGGGAGAGACTCTGACATGTGCTAAGAGGAGCTTTCTACATGCAAAAATCACAGGTGCTGCCTTCACAGTATCCCCAGTCATTGTAAGCAAAGACCAAACCAGCAAACCAATGTTTCATTGATATGTATTTATGCACTTTCCATCTCTCTGCCCCTCAGCTTTTAAGCTAACACTTACATGGCTGAAACTGAAATACAAGAACCTTTGTTGTGCAAGAAACATAAAGGTGCAGATCCACACTGACTTTCAGGTGGGGCTGCAAAACATGGAGGACATTAACAACAGGACATCCTTTAGCTGTACCAAGCAGCCAGGGACATCCTGAGATTAAATTATCCAGAGTTTTTTTCTGGAGGGCAGAGCCCAGAGCTCAAGACTGGCCACCCAGCAGCACCTTCATTTGAGCAGGTATATTGCTGCCAGCAGTGTGATGAACAATTGTTACTCTTTGCAAGCGAGAGCAGTGCAGACCCTGTGATGGCTGTGGACCAGCCCAGCTGGACCCAGACAGGTTCCTGCTGTGCCACTGAGCCAGCTGGGCCAGCCAGCACCCAGGTTTGACACCATGGGCAATGCTGCAATGCTCCTCTGAGCATGGATGTGCCAGGCTGATCTCCCACCTGACTGAGCATCTCTACAGCACACTTGATTTCACAGGCTGGATGAGCCCTCTGCCATTCCTCTTGGCAGACCCACATAATTCATCCTCCAAAAAATCCCACAAAGCTCCAGATGAAGACAGGAGATGTAGATCTGCATGCAAATTAGATGGGCATTAATGTCTTTTATCTCCTTTTCAATAGATCTGACATGTTGCCAAGTTGTCCCGATTTCCTTCATCTGGAGCACTCACTCAAGGCATGCAGTGCTGTGCAGGAACAGGCTGTAAGGGCCATGCACTACAGTTCCATTTTCATCCTAAAGTCTACTGATCTCACTGGTTTCTGGTAGAAAGGCCTTACTATAAAGGGCAACCAAGTAATAAACAGTTTCCAACCTGAGCATCCAAAAAACACTGAAACTAATAAATGGGCATTTATGTGCTCTTGTCCTGACAGAGGCCACCAGGAATCCTTCCACTGGCACCACAGGGCCAAATCAGTGTTGACTGTCACTGTCCTCCACCAAACCAGAAACCCAGCCTAACCAGGAATGTGCCAGGCAAAACATCCCAGGAACAACCACCCACACAGCAACCTACAAAGACTCGTGCTGCAGGGCTGTTTGTACCTGATCCACAGTCTCTGTATTTACTGTAGGACACAGCCAGGCAAGTCTAAAACTCAGCCTGTAGCTAAATCAACTGTTATTTATGTGATGACCTCTGCAGCATCCAACTGGGCAGTCAGCTGTGCCTCTCTGACAGGCAGGGCCTGAGACTCCAGTAATGATTTCCCACTAATGAGACACCACTGAGCCTTTCCACTTCTTTCTTTTTTTCTGTGACAGCACTGAGAAAGGAAGCATGTCTCCTGCAGATAAAAACCCTCTATGCACTTGAAACTGCTGAACCCCTGTACAGGAGTCAGTGGCACCTTTGTGTGCCATTTTTCCCCTTATAAACATTTCCATTTTCTTTTCATCTTGTGCCAAAGAGCCTCTCCCCTCTGGTGCTTACCAGCAAAGAAAGATATCCGTGAATGTCTCTGCTGTCGTGAAGAGCGCGAATATGATCCAGTACATCATCCATTTGACCTGGTAAACAAAAACAGTCTCAGACTATCTCTACAGGCACAAGTGCACAGAATAACTCTCACAGGAAGAGAAATTCTTAATCCCTCACCCTCCCCACTGTGTATTTAGCAATTACTGTGGACTTGAAGGTGCCAGTTTGCCCCACTTCAGCACATAACACGTGTCAGATTTACACAGCCCTTGGGAAGGTGACTGTGGCCTTTAGGACTGGTCTTAGGAAAAGAAGAGACTGTTCTTAGAGAAACTCCACTGGCCAGTAGAGCATGACAGCCCTATCACAGGGCATTAAAAATCTCTTTTAGCTCATGTTAATAGCAAATGTTAATATAAGGTTGTTGGCCAAACTCCAGTTAAGACAAAATGTAATTACTTACATAACACCTACAGCAAGCAAAAGGCAAAGAGGTAACTGCCCATCCCATAATTCAGGGCTCAGGAGCACAATCAACTCACCACAATTTACTGACTCAGTGGGCAGCCCTGGAGTGGCTGTGCCTACTCCCCCCATACCCAGTGCAGTGACAAGAGCAAGAGCAATAGTTTAAATCCCTTGCCTTGGGCTCAGGGGACAATGTTTTACCTCACTCTGGGAGTGAGAGCATGTGCTGTGCTGTCTCTGTTCAACTGGAGAAACTCCACTGTCAGGGATGATGGTTTCCTTTGGGGTGACAGCAAAAGAGTCTTTGGGGATGGTGACTCAGTCAGATAAACCGCAGCACCTCAAGGAATTCAGGAATTTGGAAATTTTTGTCACTGAGCACTAAAAGCACCTAAAAGCACAGCTCAACTGTTCTGAAGTATGTAGTATTGGTTCTTCTCAGGATGGAAAAAGATGGTGAGACAAAGGTTGTTAATTTAACTGACAACAGCTGTTTAATTAGGTGTATTTGAAAATGGAGATCGCTAAGCAGCTTTGCTGGAATGTTAAAAAGCTTAAGGAAGTAAAACCCATGAAAATCCATGAAAATCCATGAATTAGAGAATTGACCCATGTTAGCTAAGGCTGGTACAATTGCAACAGGCTAAGGAAAGGCTGGAGGGAAGAGAGTACAGGAGGGATACCTACAGTAGGTGCTGCTCTGGGGAATGGAAGATAGAGGTGTCAATAAATCTGGATCTCACCAGCTTGGAAATGATATCTCCATCTTCTCCCTCATACAGTGGGCACAGTACTGATAATCTCCATCTCCCTGTAGGTACTGGAATTATTCCCTGAGCACCTGTCACTCTGCTACATAACTGCTCTCCTGGGATTTATATTTATGTGCATATTTATATCTATATGCAGTGTAACAACAATAGTGGCACTGCCAAATGCCTGAGAGCATCATCTTCCTAGTGCAGCTTCTGCCAGACTTCTTATGTAACTGTGACTCCTCAGAGCCTCAGTGCCAACATGGCTCTCTCAGTTAGACATTACTGCCAGCAAAACTCTTAAACACAAACCAAGAGCTGGTGTGGATGGGCTTGGATCAGCCTAACACATTCACCAAAATTACTATTGCCAAACAGAATAAGATTAGAGTGATGTAAGTTTTGATTGATAAGTAAAGGTTTGTCCTGTGTCAGTGTAAATTATTACTTAATTTATAATTTTTTTTAATTGGGCCTCAATGAATACATTGTCACAACTGCTATATTAAACTTAAATCAATTGTAAGGGCAGACCAGGTTTTAGATCAGCTCTTCTCACATTTGCGTCACAACCACAAGTGCCTGATGTGAGTTCCTCTTTTACAATTAAATTTCCAACAGGAATTGGACCCTTCAACAAAATGCCTTCCAGTAAGAGACTATGGAAACATTAAGTATCAGTGGCAGACACTGCTTGGAGATGCTCGTGCACATCTTCAGCATTTTCAGGAAAGAGGCCCTGAGAAGCAGAGCTGTGCAAGGGCTGCAGAGACATTTTACCTTCAGTATCTGCTGTGTTCTGTAACACTTATGATTCTCAAAACACCCAAAACCATTTTCTGAAGGAGGAAAATTATAAACAAAACTCTTAGCAGCCACAGTGAGTCCCAGATTGAGTTTGCACTAAAGATTTAATGGGATAGACATGTATGCTGTTATCCAGATGAGAAAATGGGCTTGTTATCCCTGGGGTCTTGAGAGGATTGAAGAGTCAAGATCTGGAGGCTGAGCTGGGTTCAGTGAAGTTAAAAGAGCTCAGGGCACTACAAATCCTACAGGACCCCCACAGCATCCAAGTGCTTTTGATTCTCCCTCACTTCACTTTCCCTGATGGCCCCATATGCCTTTAGAAACCAGGGCCCAGGGAAGATTTTTCAGCAAAAAGAAAAAAGAGAGCACACCCAGCTGCCAGACCTGCCTGTAAATAGGTCACTCTGCAAGGAAGGATGTTTCTGTCTGGGGATTCAGTCATATGTACTTCTAGTTGCCGCCTCTTATCCTTGTTTTGAATAAGCAGTTAAAGCTTCAAGGCTTTTTGAAAAGGCTTTGATTTATGCTGCTCTTCAGAAACAAAGAAGAGCACACAAAGCTCTGGATGCCAAATGCCTTTTAAGTCAGCTGTATATCTCACCACCAGAGGAGCAGCACGCATTTGTCAAGGGGCACATCAGCTCTGCACTGGAGCCAGGAGCACAAACCCAAGTCTCATTTGTGCCCAGCAATCAACCATTCCACCTTCAGGCCACTCTGCCCCTTGCGCTGCTTTATGAGCTTTCCCAGAATACAGACAACACTTTTCCAATGTGGTGAGGAGCAATCTTAGAAAACAACCCCCCCAGCACAGCCACAAACCTCATTACTCACATATTCTTTGATGTCCTTTGATTTCACGGCTTTGTAAGAATAATATGCCGGGTAAAGTGTGCCAAATATAAGCCTGGAAAAAACAAACAAACAATAAACGGATTAAATTGATTTCCTGTCACAGGGAAAGATTTTTTTCCCCCTCTGTGTTTTAAATGTGGGTTTTGCACTGGTAAAAAGTGTTAGGATTTGATTTAAGCTTGAGTGCACTAAGTACAGCACAGGAGTGATTTTGCATCACTGAATTCAGAGCAGCTATTTCCAGTGACTTGAATGAAGAGCAGAGATTCAGGCTGTTTTTCCTTTTGCAATGGTTTCCAAAGCTGTACTTTATGAGTTACACACAAAACAAAGTAATCAAACCAAACAAAAAAGGCCACCACCACACATTCAAAAGGAAATTAAAAGTCTGATCTTGAAACATTCTACTGCAACACCAGGAATATGGGAGTATTGCTTTCAGAGAGAGAATTATTTGTCTAAAATCCCTTCCACCTCTATTCAGTGCTCTGAAAAGCTGGCAGATAATAAAGCAGGATACAGGTTCTACTGGTGCAAGGGTTTGAGTGCCTTATCCTACATTAAACCTGGTCTAGGGAAGATCCTTGCACTGTTCAGTAAAGTCAATTTGGACTCATGAAAGGAGGAGGAATCTGCCCACCAAGATATGCCAACATGATCAAGCCTAAAAATCCCAGCTCTGCTGTTCTTTCAGGCAGCTTCCTTTCATTTTCAAGTCTGAAAGGGATGCTGTCAGCTTCAAGATTTCATGTAAGAAAGAAACAAGGATCTGTAAGTTAAAAATAGCACTACTGAGAAAAACACATGGAGAATTTTTTATACTAGGTTCTCTCTGCATCACTGCCTACATGCTTATTCACTTGGATTATTCTGGACATAAGCATAGGCTTGTCAAAACCACTTTGCCCTGCCCAGGTTTCAGTCAGTTTTATTCAAAGCAGGAGGATGATGCTGCAAAGTCTAAATTTAATAGATTGCAGGGTAATGTTTATTGGCTTGCAACGACCCATCTTTCTGTGGAAGCTTTTGCTTTAAATTCACACAACTGTTTCCTCCACTCCTGGGAATGGAAATGATCAATGTTTCAATCCCAAATTGTGGAGCCACATGGACCCACAGTCATCTTTTTCCACCCTGCCAGCAGTGACTGTGTGCCGAGGGACTCGTAATTACAGTCAAGTCCATTACGTGTGTAAGACATTAAAAATTAACACTCTGGGATATGGTGCACCATCGTACTTCCCGGAGCTCAGGAAGGTATTTATGAAAGAATGGGGTGAGCCAGCACTCATCTTGATTTCCAAAGCAGTGACCAAAGGCAATTTGCCTGCTATTCATCATGCTCAATGTAGCATGGCTTAGCAGAACCTGAAGCACAATGCAGACTTCAGAATATCAGCTACTGAGTGAGGAGATTCAACATTTTACAGAGGCTTCACACTGCTTTCAGAAAGCTTTGCTGGAAGCAGTCAGCTCCAAAATTGTTTCACTCAGAGGGGCTTGTGCTATCTGCAAGGATCAGATACAGACTCAGAAAGATCCTGGGAAACCAAAAGCATTTTTGTCCCTTGCAGTTTCCCCCCAGACAGCAACATGGGTTAAGGCAAGGATGAACACACACAGAGTGGCTCGATCCTGCTCTCACTGAGATATAATAACAAATATTCCAAGTGGCAGCAGGACCTAATCCAAAGAAGGAAGAGTTCACAAAAGAAAGAAAGCTACAATACTCAGAAAATAACAGCTGAGCACATGAAAAATATTTTTGGCTCTCCTTATAAAATGCACTGCAATGCTGTTCTTCCTTCTTGGCCTAGGCTGGCTGCTATCTCACACTTTTATTTCCTGCAAATAATCACTGAAAGATTGATATTCATTTCCTGAGTTTGTGCTGGTAACAGAAAGTCACTGGATCCTGAAGAAGCAAATGGTTTATAGGAATACCATAAAATAATTTGTTGCAGACAATAAATACTTGGGGAAAAAATCCTGTGAGGGAAGGAAATTGCAATAATTTTGCAAGTGCAGAGCAAGGGACAGTTAATAAGGTGACGTGATCTCCCTAAACTGGAGATTCAGGGTTTCACTGATTTGCCTTGCAATGTGTTGTGTGCATATATGGACATTTATTACTGCTGTGGTTTACCAGACTGAAAATTGATTTAAGGAATGTTGGAAGCCAGTCTTGTCACTGCTGTGGCTTACTAAGTGGCTTGGGGTCACAATCTCTGGGTACATGCTACAAATGGAAGACAAAAGATGTTTGGGCATTTCTGTAAAGTATATTCAGGGTTTTTAAGACAAATATTTGCATATAGGGATATTTCAAAAAGTCTCTAGAAGTTACTGTCTTTACTTGGCTTTGGATCAGGGTTGAGTGCAATTGATTTAATTCAAACATGCACATCAATCCTGCATCTCTTCCCTCAGTTCCTCTACCCTGCTGAAGACAATAATTCTCACTTCCCCCTCTTCCAAGCTTCCTGCGTAATTAAAGTTATTGTTGATTCCTGCCTTCCTTCATCTCCATGCTCAGAATGTTGCCAAATCACTCCTTCTGCACGCTACACACAAACCTGAGGTTGACCCTTTGTCCCTTGAAAACCATAAAGTCTTTCTTTGTCCAAGTCTCCTTTCCACCTCCTTTCTGTGGTCTCTACCCCACATGGATGCACCTGTGTTTAAACCTCTCTCCTCTGTCCCAGTCACCCCCACTCCCAGCCTAACAAGCTGAAGTAACTTATCTTTGCTTTCCATGCCTGAAAAACGTTGTTCCTAACCCCTGTTGGTTTGCTCTTTTATCACATCCTACCTCGGTCCCTTCTCTCCTTTAATGACTGCAGTGCCACCACCCTCTTCCTCTGCTGTTCCCTGCTTGTGTTCTCCCACACCCTGGAGCTCCTGTGCTCCTTGCTCCCCCAGAGCACATCAGTTCACTGCCTCCAAAACAAGCTGTTCCCTGGCAGTCGTCCTGACAGCCCCCAGTCTGAGACACCAGCCCAATTCCAACCAAATCATCCCCCAGTTCTCCTCATCTCTATATTCTTCTTCTGCCACGCTTCTGATGTTCTCTGCAGCAGATCACAGGACCTTCAGCTTTCTTCCCACATCCCCAAAATCACAGGACTGCCCCTCAGTTCCCTCCCACAGCTGCCAGCTGAGCTGGGACTCGGATGTGCTGTGACTCCTTCTGTGTTACAGGCACTGTCTGTCTGCCTGGTGCTGGCCAGCCAAATTAATGACCTACCTATGGAGTCAGCACTGCAGCTTTCACCTCCTGGCAGACACTGCTATAAAACAGTCTCCTATCCAGCAGCTAATTCTTAGGAATAATGTAGGAAATTTATATTTGAGACCTCTCTGACCCATCTATTTTGGCCACAACCACTTTGCAGATCCAAAAGTTTTGCAGCAGTGGAAAAACAGACAACTTAAGTCTCATTTCCTTAGGAAACCAGCATCAACCCACTCCCCACCCATTTCCATCTTTCAAAGCTTTTTTGAATGAGCTGTGTACCCAAGAAAGCCTTGGCCCTTTTACCTTCTGTGCAGAAGCAGATATCCTGATCATCAAACCTCCCAGACCTTGATGTAGAATAGCTGCTACATTTAAAGCTACAGAAATGTTCTGCAGTCTGGGCTAAAGCAAGCACACACCCTCAGGGCATAGAGAGAGGCAAGGAAGTGGTGACATCCATCAGTGAGTTAGGAAAAGCTCACTTGCAGCACTAAACAAATAACCACAACAGCCTGACAGTTCTGTGCTGGAGGTCTACACCAATTACAATCACCTTGAAAAAGGACAAAACAGCAGCTGTAAAGAAATCACTGAAGAGTCGAATAATTGTGCAACAGGAGACAAAAATCTAAGTAAAAGGTTAGTCTGCCTAAAGAATAGGATAAGGATTAATGCTGAAAATCCTATAATCCTATTAGGCACCTCAGCAGCAGCAATCCCCAGCCTGGATCATTACATGTGCTTCCGGTCATTCTTTGTCAAAAGGGAGACACGAAGGCAGGAGGGGAAAGAGAAAGACAGGGAAAGTGGAAGTGCACTGGGGAGGATCCATATGAGGGACTGTAAAGGCTGTAATTGTTTCTTTTGCAACAAAGACAATTAACCGAGGTTACTCACTCCTCTGATGCAGTGTAAGAGGATGCTCAACTCAATAAAGAGAACAAAGGAAAAGGAGGGGAGAAACCCCCCGTACCACCAGGAGATATTATGTGGAATGGATGGACTGCATTTATTAATATAATTACATTATGTAGGATTTGGGTTTCATTATTGAATTTTACCATTAAATGACACAGGGAAGGATGAAGCTTCCCATATTGTGGGGTTTCCTGATTGTCAGGGGAATAGTAAAGCAACTGAACTGTTGACTCCTCTTTAATGAACCCTGTCATATTCCAGGGGAGCAGATGCACCACCACTAAAGCTCTTTTGTCTCCACTTACCAGAACAGCCACAGTCAGACCTGGCTGTTATATCCTTCTGTTCCTTCTCTGGATCTGCTGGAGCAGTGGTCTGCCCATCACAGGGCACAGGCTATCCCAGATGTGACAGTATTCCTGATGGAATCTAGACTACAGTCTGGGGAACAGCCTCAGAGCTGCCACCATGACCTGGGAGGATCCCACGGGACATCTTGGGTTCTAATTTGGTGATGCTGCTTTTCTCATGGAAAAGCTATTTACCCACAAAATTAACTCTCACACTCCATAAAGTAGCCACTGAAATAAATGGAAAGGTTCTTAGTGATTCTCAGGAGTTCTTGCCAGGACTCAGGTTACCTCCAGAAATGCCTGCACATCCACTCCCTCAAGCACTTTTAACCACAGGGGTCTTTTCTGGGTAGTAACCTGCTGTTACAAATATACCAGCATGGGCTATCTACATCCCAAGCCATCCAGGTTTTGCTCCTCTAGTTACCATGCCACCAGCAGTGTTTGGGCTGCCCAAACACTTAGAACATTGTACCATCACAACACAAATAGAACAGCCCTTATTTTACTCATAAATAACAAATGTTCCCATTTCACGGGTAC